CCTCCTCTCTCTTCAGCCACATTGGCAGCTGCTCTGTGTCCCCACCTGGCCGTCAGAAGGACAGTTGAGTCTCATTACTTGCAGATTCTGTATTTGAGAATTCACAACTATTTGCTAACATTTATTTGTAAGTCCAAAATTAATATTCACAGAGCTTTTGTGGGCACGTGTGGACATGCGCAGAGCAGTGAAACATGAGCTGCCCGGTGAGCACGTTCCCAAGTGAGGCTGGACAAGGTGTTACTCTGCCTTCTTGTCTCAGCTCATGCTGTAAACACGTGTCCTTTGTGGTCTATTTAGTGCCATGTTTTTTTGTGTGTGTGCTTTTTTAGCGGTTTCACTGTTTTTTTATAATGGCCCCAAGTGCAGTGCTGAAGTGCCGTCTAGTGTCCCTAGCACAGGAAGACTGTGATGTGCCTAATGGAGAGAATATGCGTGTTAGTAAGCTTCATTCAGGCAAGGTACAGTGCTGCTGCCTGAGCTCAATGTTCATGAATCAACAAAATATATTACATAAAGTGTTTTTAAGCAGAAACATACATAAAACAAGGTTATATAGTTAAGTTTTGATTAGTTGATAAACATTTTCTGACCAAAGGCTTGTAGCACCCTAATCCTGTGTTTCCTCTGGGAACAGTCATTCCGTATTTGCTAATTCTGTGTTCATGATGACTTTATAAAAACTAATTACCCGGCCAGGCACAGTGGCTCATGCCTGTAATCCCAGCACTTTGGGAGGCCAAGGCGGGTGGATCAACTGAGGTCAGGAGTTCAAGACCAGCCTGGCCAGCATGGTGAAACCCTGTCTCTATTGAAAGTACAAACATTAGCCGGGGATGGTGGCGGATGCCTGTAATCCCAGCTACTTGGGAGGCTGGGACAGGAGAATTGCTTGAACTCACGAGGCAGAGGTTGCAGTGAGCAGAGATCACACCACTACACTCCAGCCTGCTTGACACAGCGAGACTCCATCTCAAAAACAAACAAACAAAACAACAACAACAACAAAAACCCCAAAATAATAATTACCAGGAGTGACAAGAATTGACTGTATCAGCCCCATAGCTGGGCCCACACAACCTCAGAACTGTGGTCACTGTAGGGCTGCATACCTTTTAAAATTAAACTTTTTATTTTGAGGTCATTGTAGACTCACATGCAGTTGTGAGAAATAATATGGAGATCCCAATACCCTTCACACAGCCTCCCCCGATGGCAGCATCCTTCGTAACCATGGTGCCTATCACAACCTGGATGTTGATATTGGTATAGTTGGTCCCACCACCTGAGGATCCCTCATGCTGCAGTGCTGCCCATTTTCCAGAGGGGACATGGAAATCTGGGCAGCCCCCAAGGTGAGGGGACCAGGAAAGTGATGGGAAGGAGGAGCTGACCTGGGGGAGGGAGTGCTCCAGGGACCTGGCAGTGTCTTCAGCATCTCCTGGGTTGTCTGATGCCCAAGGGTGGAGTCAGCCTCCATGTGGGAAATGCAGACAGGCAGGTGGAGGGGGCTTTCCCATAGTCAGCACCTACAGTTTTAGGCGTTGCCTCAGGAAACTCTGAGTGCCTCATCACTGATGGTGTAGAAGAAGCTGTCGTGGGGCCACCGAGTCAGGCTGAGGCAGTGGGAAGCCTTGGTTGGTGGAGGCAGGCTGGAAGGCCCGTCTGCTTTTCTGGAGCTACCTGTCTCTCCTGGGCTTCCATGTGATTTCTCTGGATTCAGTCCAGAGGAGGGAAATGAGTGGGCACTGCTGAATAACCTGTGGATAGCAGAGCATTCCCTGCCAGCCCTCTGCCTCCTCTTGCCTTAGCAAGGGTGCCATGTGAGACTTTGGGAGGAGGACTCCCAGCTGAGATTCATCAGAGCAGGGCATCTGAGCCCTGGTTTGGGGCCACGGTCTTCTCTCTGGGAGAACTAAGGACTCTGCAGGCAGACACTTCACCCATGTTGGTCCCTGTTGAGAGGGGGAGAGAAAAGACAGAGAGAGTCAGCGTGTGGAGAAATGGCTGGGGCAGAGAACCCAGGTCACCTGGACTGAAGGTTGTGGGATTCTCCATAAGATAGTGCTTTCGGTTCTTTTTTTATCTTGATGAAAAGTTTGCAATGTTTACTGTCACAGAACAAATACAATGGTGACTAAGTTTTGCAAATGTCACGGCTGAGTCTACGTGTTTTCGAAAGAGATTTTCCCAATTTTTTCTTTCTAATGATGTCTGGCTAGTCTGTTGGTTCATGGACATCACGTTGGTGCTGTTTTTCTTTAGAGGTAGTGCGGTGATGGATTGGGGTTAGAGGCTGCGGGGTGTGCTCTCTCTGGCACTATTTGCTACATGAAGGAGGCAGTCTTTTGGTTTTTCATTTAAAAAATTTTTATTTTTATTTTATTTTATTTTTTTGAGAGAGGGTCTTGCTCTGTCACCCAGGCTGGAGTACAGTGGCGTGATCTCGGCCCACTGCAGCCTTGACCTCCCTGGCTCAAGCAGTCCACCCACATAAGCCTCCTAAGTACCTGGGACTGCAGACGGGTGCCACCATGCCTGGCTAATTTTGTTTATTTTTTGTAGAGGTGGGTCTCACTATGTTGCTCAGGCTTGTCTCAAACTCCTAGGCTCAAGTGATCCTTCCACCTCAGCCTCCCAAAGTGCTGAGATTATAGACGTGAGCCACAGTGTCTGGCCTGGCTTTTCATGACATGAATACAAACTCTGATAGTTTCAGTTTTACAAGCCCCATGTAGCTGTCAAGTCTTGATAGGCAAAGCCTGTATGGGACGAAGAGGAAAGAGCAGAGTGGTCTGGGATGCACTGAAGGGAGGGGAGGCTGCTGTGGAGCTCAGGGGCGTGGAAGGAAGGCTGGGGGCGGGGGCAGGGCACACCACTGCACGCTGCTTTCCTGAGGCGTCTACCCGACCTCTGACTTAGAAACACAGTGGATTCTTGCCAGGCCCCTGTGGCAGTCCTGATCCATGGCTGGAGTTTGGAAATACTTGACCTTTGCTCTCTAGGTGACAAGTGACCTGGGCGGGCAGATCAGCTCCGGATTCTAATGAACTCTCCTCCATGTCAGGCTTTTTTTGTAGGCCCTGGAAACAGATTGGGAGAGCCGATCCCCATTTCCAAGGCCCATGAGCACATTTTTGGGATGGTCCTTATGAACGACTGGAGTGGTAATTACTGGAGTTCTGCTCCTGTGGAGATGAGGGGGAGGAGGCTGGGCACTGGGGGCAATTTCATAGAAGCTGAAGATCTGGTGCAGGTCAAAAGTGGCAGTTGATGCAGTGACTGAGAGTGTGGGTTTGGGTATCAAACAAAGTTTCAGCTCTAAGAACTCAGGCCACTCACTTAACTCCTCTGAGCTCCAGTTTCCTCATGAGTGGCTAGGGACACGGCTGACACCATAACTAATATTTACTGAGCACTTATGTGTCAGGCCCCGTGCTTAACACCCTACATATATTCTCCCGCTGATCCCTACGTGGCATGTGCAATATTATCATTCCCATTTTACAGATGAGGAACTGAGGCACAGGGAGATTTCAGTTAATTGCTGAACTAAGATTTGAAGCAAAACAGTCCAGCTTCTGAGCCTGAGCTCTCAACCCTTTGCGATACGTGGGAGGAAGGTGGCACCGTAAGCCCCAGGAAGTGTCTCCCTCATAGTTTGAGGATGAGCTTCCGGCCCCTTCCTGGGGGATATCCTGACCACCGTTGGGTCATCCTTCTCTTTGCTGTAGCCTGGCACAGTGGCCTCAAAGGACCTCTGTCCTTGGCGTTGGATGCTCTTGCCCCTTGGTCCTGGGGCAGCCTGGCTGGGGCTGAGCTTTGTGGAGGGGCTGTGCTGGGTGTCTTTTCTCCTTGGTCAAGGGCAGGAGGGGCTCTTGGGGAGAGGCCCTGATCAGCCTTTGTAAGTCCCGGGTGCGCCCTTCTTCTGCAGCACGAGACATTCAGAAGTGGGAGTATGTCCCTCTCGGGCCATTCCTTGGGAAGAGTTTTGGGACCACCATCTCTCCGTGGGTGGTGCCCATGGATGCTCTCATGCCCTTTGCTCTGCCCAACCCGGAGCAGGTAAGCATACTCTCTGCAGGAAGCTCCCAAACCCAGCCCTGCTGCCTCCGAGCCTGCTTGCCCACTGAGTGGACATGCCGGGCATGCAGACCATCGGGAGGGAAGCCCTGTGCCCACGGCATGCCCACAGTGGAGTGCCTGGGAGTTCCTGGCCACGATTACCTCCAGGCAGCCAGGGCATCGTTCTCCCTTATGGTTTCCCTGACCCTGGCACAGTTCTTGGAGAAAACACAGGATTTTGTAACCTTAAGAATCTTGCAAGACCAGGGGATCTGGCCAGTTGGTAGGAGGAGTCCCTGCAGGTACCAATATTGCACAACCTCCCAGGTGGCCATCAAATCGTGTTCTGTGCAAATGGCGCCACCTGGATCCCAACTCATAGAATGCAGCTTGGAGCCCAGCAACAAGGGAGTCCAGGCAGCCTCTGGTTCCCAGCACCACTGGGTCTACCACTGGGCCTAGGCCTTGACCCCTGGTCCCAGTCCCCTCCTTCTCAGCCTCTTGCAATCTGCCCCACTCCATCACTGGCAACATCTGGCCAGAGTCACCTGTGACCTGATAGCCAGTGTCATGACCTTGTGTTCCCTTCAGCATGGACTTCCTGTGGCCCCTCACTCTTGTTGGCATTGCCTCACCCCTTGGCTTCTGGCATGTGACCTGTCCTTGTTCTCCAGTGTCTCTGAGTCCTCACGATGCCCCTCGCCAATTCTGACCTCCCTGTGGGGATCCAGGCCAAGCTCCCAGCCATTTGCACATCCTCACTTGAGCATCTCACCACTCATTTGCTGGGGGCCTCTAGCAACACCCTGTGCAGGTCCTGCACCCACACTGCTATCCCGTGTTCCTCTGCCTCTGGGGTCATCTCATGTTTGCTGTGCTACAATCAACCTTGAGGTCTTTCCCTGCAAGCCAGTTCTAGTGAAGTACTGTGGGGCTTTCACAGTCGCCCCTTGCTCTCTCCTCGCTGCTCCCTGCCCACACCTGCTCATTTTCAGTATCCAGAACGTGGCTTTCTCTCTAGCCGACAGCGACCCTGTCTAGTCTCCCTAGGGCCGGAAGACCACAGCCTCTCTCTGCTTGTCCTCCAGTCATCTGCCTTCTTCCAGGTCTGTCATCACAAGACTTTGCCCACACTCCTCTGTGCCAGCCCTTCCTGAACACCATTTATGTACAATCATCACTACTGTTACCCCTTCTGAACCATTATTTACTTAATGTTTTTCTTCAGAGTGGCTCCCAGTTTAAAACTTAATATATTAAGAAGGGAACTTTATATTCCTACTGGCATCACTAGCTACAGTGTTTCATAACTATTAGAATCACCAAAAACGATCTCATGTCCCATGGGTGACTGACGTACCATGCTTTGGAAAACACTGTTTTTGGCCGAAGTGCAGATGTTCTGGCCCAGCCACCCAAGCTGCCTCCCTCGCTGGCTCCAACACCAGCCAGGGCTGTCTGCTTCTTTTGTGACCCCTCTGCCTTCCAGGGGCCCTGCAATGCCCTTTCAGGCCCCAGCCTTTCCTCACAGGCCATGCTTTGTTCCCCATCTTGACTTGTCTGCTGCCCACCTTCCCTTTCTCTCCCCTCCTGTGGCTTACAGGAATATCTCTGGTTTGGCTTCTGTGACCTTTGACCTGCTGATGCCCCTTCCTTGGCTGCTTTTCCTGGAGCCCCACAGTATGATCCCCCCACTCCTATCCAGGGACACAGTGCTGGGATCCTGGAGAGGGAATGCTCCTGCTGTCTCAGACCCTCTGCCTGGGGGAACAGGTGCTGCCGGGGGCCTGACTGGTCTGGGGGCCCAGCCGGATGAGCTCAGCCCACCTGCCAGTGACCTCTGTGCTGTGCTTTGCCCTCCCAGGACCCCAGGCCTCTGCCGTATCTCTGCCATGATCAGCCCTACACATTTGACATCAACCTCTCTGTTGCCCTAAAAGGTATGTCGTGGGGGGATTGACATGGCTAGGAGCTCTGAGGGAATGTGTGCCTGTGTGCCTTGTCCTGAAGGCTCCTGAGCTTTGGCAAGGGTGGGGGCACATGCTACAGCCCTGGAGACGTGTGGCTCTTCTAAAGGAAAGAGGGCCGGGCACGGTGGCTCACGCCTGTAATCCCAGCACTTTGGGAGGCCGAGGCGGGTGGATCATGAGGTCAGGAGATCGAGACCATCTTGGCTAACATGGTGAAACCCCATCTACTAAAAATACAAAAAATTAGCCTGGCGTGGTGGTGGGCGCCTGTAGTCCCAGCTACTCGGGAGGCTGAGGCAGGAGAATGGCGTGAACCCAGGAGGCGGAGCTTACAGTGAGCCGAGATGGCGCCACTGCACTCCAGCCTGGGCGACAGAGCGAGACTCTGTCTCAAAAAAATAAAATAAAATAGAATAGAATAGAGTAGAATAGAATAGAATAGAATAGAATAGAATAGAATAGAATAACATAAAATAAAATAGGAGGGGAGGAGACGCTCTGGTGCTCACTGGGAACCTAACTGGGCCCACAGGGCATTAACCCTATCACTGAGCTCTCAGTGATAGGGCTGAAAGGATGGAGTCCGGCACCTCTGTCTTCCACTTGAATCCCGTCTCCAGCCTCTCCAGGGGCTGCCTGGCCCCCGCTCACATATCGCTACTGACCCTCACTTCTGTGGTGGGTGGCACATTTCATTGAGTGCCTGTTTGAAAGCATGTCCTTGTGGGTCTGCTTGCAGGAGGCTTGGCTGAGCCCCTGGGGCCACACAGAGCCAGCGCATCAAGGCCCCAGATTCCCACCCTGGGCCAGCCCTGAGTGTCTTGCAGACAGGCCTGAGATCCCCACACTGGGCCAGCCCTGAGATAGACAGGGCCCACATCTCCCTGTGGCTGCTCAGCCCAGCTCCGTGAACAGACCGGCAGAGAGTTGGTAATAAAGAGACTGGCTCTGCAGGCCATGACTCTGCTCCTCAACTGCGGGACTTTGGGCAAGTTGCCCAACCTGGCCATGTCCTCATTTGTCATCTATGAAATGGGATAATAATGGCGTTGACCTCATGGTGTGTTGTGAGGACCAAACATGTCAATTCATGCAAAGGTCTGGGACAGGGTCTGTACCTAGGAAGAGTCAGGTGTCATTTTCCAGTCCCAGTAGAGGCCCTCAGGTGGAGAGGGTTTGCCTGGTGGCCACACACAGACCTCCTAGCCACACTCTGGCCACATCTCCTTTTTAGCTACATTCCTTTCTCCTTTTTTTTTTCCCCTTTTTTTTTTCCTGAGACAGAGCTTCACTTTTGTTACCCAGGCTGGAGTGCAATGGCACGATCTCGGCTCACCACAACCCCCGCCCCTGGGTCCAAGCAATTCTTCTGTCTCAGTCTCTTGTGTAGCTGGGATTACAGGCATGTGCCACCATGCCTGGCTAATTTTGTATTTTTAGTAGAGACGGGGTTTCTTCAAGTTGGTCAGGATGTTCTCGAACTCCTGACTTTAGTTGATCCACCTGCCTCAGCCTCCCAAAGTGCTGGGATTACAGGTGTGATTAACCGCGCCCAGCCAGCTCCATTCCATTCTTCCATCTGCTGTGTCTGCACACACCAGCCTTTGCCGTGTCTGTCTCACTGCCAGTTCCAGGGTCTCGGCCCTTCATGAGGTGGTTCCTGTCAGGAGGCTCAGTACCCTGCAGGAGTGAGGAGCTGTTGCCATGGGAGCAGGATGCTCCACGGAGAAAAGGCTGCCACAGAGAGCCTCCTGGCTGCTCAGGGCCCCCTGGGAAGCTGTGCTGGACCTGCTCTTTCAGGTTCCAGGTCAGGTAGCTGAGGCTCAGAGAGGAGAAGGATTCACCCCGAGCCACCTACCTGGCTAATGGCAGGGCTGGGACTCAATCCAAGCGTCACAAGTTCTAGGTTGGCCTCCTGCCACTCACTATGCATGCTTGGAGTGTATTTTCTATCTGGTTTCATCCTAGATATTTCTTCCTGCCTGCCTAGAGGTGAACTCACCCAGGGGAGGCCACTGGTGGAGAAGGGACAAAATTATCCGGAAAGCATGGTGTCCAGAGATGTAGTCTTGCATTTGCAGTTCTGATGTTCTGAGTTGGGATCTAGGTGAAAGGGTCTGGGGAGGAGCAGGCTTGGGGGACCCAGAACTCACATGGCTGAAGAGCACATCTGTTCTGTGCCACCTCAGAGGGGAAGTTAGGACCAAGGGAGGAAGCCAGGTTTTGAGGGAGCAGAGGAGCTTTCTACTTCTTAGTGTTGTTCAGAAGTGGAACAACAACGGTCCGGTAACTTGCATGTAGTAGATGTTTAGTAAATATTGTTTAGTCCATTGTAAAGTAGCACATTGCCCATCACTGGAGGAGCTTGGCAGGGGACAGATGACCCAGCTATCCAGAGGACTCCTGAGGGGACAGCAGGTTATCCTTGGTCAAAGGTCACAAGTAGCCTTCAAATGGCACACTATCTCCAGTGGATTTGTGGGTGCCAGGTTCACTGTGTTAAGAAGGATTTCTGAGGCTGCATGTGGACTCAGAGCAAACATGCGCTGTGATCAGTTAATGCCGCCTGCTGTCGGCGTGGGAGGAGGAAGTGGTGACTCGTGCGCATGTATTGGCCAACCCTGGACATCCCAGCTCTGATGTCCTAGCAGCTAATTGTTTCACAGACTTACAGTGAAATCATGTTGGACGATGGGAAGCTTCAGCCACAGAACAATTCTTTTTTTATTTGCCTCCCTGAAGCATGGAATTAAGTTTTCATCAATATTGCTTTTCTTTCCAACAGGAGAAGGAATGAGCCAGGCGGCTACCATATGCAAGTCCAATTCTAAGGTAAGTTTTGGCGCTGATCAGACTGCTTCTTACAATTGGGGGAAAGAGAGACTCTTCTTCTTGGCAGGAGCAGGAGGAGGGCATTGCTTTTGGGATATGATGATGGCTCAGCCTGTGGGCCTGCAGCTTCCATGACCTGTCTCTTTTAGGAGTGGCCATGGGGTCACAGAGTTCTCTCAACACAGAGGCTGCATAAATGTGGCCAGGGATTTTCTTGGGGGACAATAGGTGTTCCTGTAAAGGTCTCGTTCCTGGTTTATCCTGTCCTGCCAGGGGCTGTATTGGTGAGAGTGACTTATTTTTTAAGTGAACTTTTAATTGAAGCGTAATACACATAGATAAAAATGCACACATTACTGTAATCCCAGCACTTTGGGAGGCCGAGGTGGGAGGATCACTTAAGCCTAGGTGTTTGAGACCAGCCTGGGCAACATAGTGAGACTTTGTCTCTGTAAAAAGTAAAAAAATTAGCCGGGCATGGTAGCATGCACCTGTGGTCCCAGCTACTTGGGAGGCTGAGGCAGGAGGATCACTTGAGCCCAGGAGGTTGAGGCTGCAGTGAACCATGATCACGCCACTGCACTCCAGCATGTGTGATAGAGCAAGACCCTATTTCAAAAAATAAAAATTTTAAAAAGTGCATATTATACATGTATAGCTAGAAGAGTTTTCCTAAAATGAACATCCCTGTGCAACCAGCACCCAGATCAGAAATGGGACATTTCCAGCATCTCAGCAGACCCCTGGGCCCCACCAGGTCACTTAATCACTCCCTCCAGCAAAGGTCACTCCTCTCCTGACCTCTATTACCATATTTTTTTTTTCTGTTTTTCAGTTTTATGGAAATGGAATCATAGGATAGCATGTATTCTTTTCTAGCTGGCTTCTTTGTTTTAGTGTTATATTTGTGAGATTCGACCCTGTTGCTCTTTGCAGTGATAGCTCATTTTTCTCATTGCCTTCTAGTGTTGCACGATATATATATTCCACACTTGATTTATTTTTTTAAGTCACATCAATTCCACAATTGATGGACATTTGGTTGTTTCCATTGTTTTTGGCTATCGTAGAGTTACTGTGAACATTTTAGTACACAACTTTTGGTGCACATATGTGCACATTTCTGTTGAGTGTATATCCAATAATAAGCTTGCTGGGTCATAGAGTACACGTAGATTCAGCCTAGGAGTACTTCCAAACAGTTTTCTGAAGTGGTTATACCAGTATATACTCCCACTAGCAGCATGTAAGCATTTTGCCTGCTCCACATCCTCGTCAGCCCTGGTGGTGTTTGCCTTTTCATTCAAACTGTGCCGGGGATTGTGACTGCAGTTTGCATTTTCCTAATGACTAATGCGGCTGGGCATGTTAGTCATATGTTTATGGTTCATTTGTTTCTTGGCCTTTTGAATATCCTCTGAATCATTGAACCATTCCTAGTTCCCCTAATTTCCCTTCTAATTTAATATTATTCTGGGCTCCTTAGGCTAGTAAGAAGAAATTAAGGGACCTCCTTGTGGGGGCTTGTGGGCAAGAATCCATCTTTTGGGTTTCCTATGCCGGAATGTATGACTATAGGAGTGGCGATGTGAGAAGCTGTGGCGTGGGACAGGCGTGGGCGTGCATTGCCTCTGAGTGTCTCGGTGGGCACGTGGTACTTTGGACCCCTCTGCCCACAGCCTGACCTCCCATAGCTCTCCATCACTTCTTGGCCTGCCCTGACATCATGTTTGAATCATTCAGCTCCATTGCTCAGTGTCCATCCCAAGGCCCGGCATGGGAGAATGGGAGCAAGGGCTTTGTTCACAAGAAGCCTCTGCTGTGGTGAGGACTTAGATTCTCCCAATGCAGGACTGGAGGGTGTTCCCAGGGCAGAGTGGAGTGTTGTACACATGGGCATGTTGCAGGCTGAGGGACTGAGCAGCAAGGTCAGCCCCTAGGGGATGCTGCTTGGAGAAGGTGGTCAGTGTGGGCTTGAGGTAGCAGAGGAGCTGAGGTCGGAGCTTGTGAAGGAGATGAAAGAGCTTGAGGGAAGTCTCTGGGCAGCTCCCTAGGAGGACAGTGTGTCCTTGCTATAAGGGCCTGGAGAGAGCTGGCTGGGGGAGCTCGGGACTGGGGAAAGGCCAGGGAAGGTGGTCGTGAGCAGGGCAGGCTGTGCTCAGTTGCCTCTGGGATGCTAGGCTGAGCCTGCAGCTGCTCATTCCACCTTGCGTCCGTTGCCCACAGTATATGTACTGGACGATGCTGCAGCAGCTTACTCACCACTCTGTCAATGGCTGCAACCTGCGGCCGGGGGACCTCTTGGCTACTGGGACCATCAGTGGGCCGGTGAGTATTTGGCTGCATTGAGGGCTGCCCACACAGAGCATCCCTACTCCCCACACAGCCCCGAGGGCCCTCAGCTCACCCTCAAGAAGGAATTTCAGGCCCAAGGTGGGTGTATCTCACAACTCTGTCTTCCTCATAGCCTTTCTCTCTGGGTGCAGTAGGGACTTCTCATCCAAATGCAAACCTAAGGAGACTGGTGTGAGAACGGAGGCCTGGGTCTCTGCCTCTGTAGGGGAGCAGCACAGTGACACGTGGGGAGGAGTCGGGAGACAGTGATAGTGTCTTGTTGTCACCATCTCACACTGTACCCTCCCAGGATGAGGTGGCCATGTTGCTGTGCCCTTCCTGCCCACTTGTCCCCCTGTAAGCCTGTCGGAGTCACAGAACCTTCGGAGACGATGACCTTGGGGTGGTGCATGCGTCAGTCACTCCCTGCAGGGGCCTGGCCGAGCCCTCTTGTTCCATGAGCTGTCGACAGGAGGGTGTTAAGCATCACAGTATCTGGGCAAACTGCAGCCTCCAGAGTGGGGAGGGGATGCTACAGGGGGCACTGGGCACTCTGGTCAGGGATTCACTGATTCCTAAATAAGCGATGTCCTTAGTGGAACCATTGCTGTCCCCACAGGAAGAAGGGGCAGAGTTCCAAGTCTCAAAGGCATCTCTGCAGTGATCCCACCAAGGCCGAGACAGTGTTTCTGAGGGGCATGAGGGCCCCTGCTGCTTCTCGGGACTCCCAGGTCTTGCTGAGCATGGTCCATGCCAGAGCCAAGGCATAAATTCATGGTATTCCTTCTTTCCTTTCCTGTGAATAAGGAGCCAGAAAGCTTCGGCTCCATGCTGGAACTGTCGTGGAAGGGAACGAAGCCCATCAACCTGGGGAATGGTCAGACCAGGAAGTTTCTGCTGGACGGGGATGAAGTCATCATAACAGGTGAGGGCTGCCAAACCCAGCAGCTCATCTTTCTCCTTGCCCGCCGTGCACTGTTCTAGCTGCGGGACGCTTCCACCTGGCCATGAAGCCATCTGTTCTAATGCATCCTGACTCTGCCTCCCAGAGTCTCTGCCTGCTTGTTCTGTCCTTCCCCACAGCTATGGCTACCCAGGACTTCAAGCGTGAGTCTCCCCAGGTCAGAAAGACTGTAGACATTCTGCATGGTCTCCCTTCTCCCTGAGCAAAATTATAAAATCCTGGCAGGTTCCTCAGGGTCTAGACTTTGCGGCAAACCTCCTGAGCAGAAACTTGGTGAGCTATGACTAGGATCAAGGAAGGTTCAGCTGAGTTAGTGGCTGAGGCTTCCCAGCAGCCCATTGCGAGGACGCAAGGGTGCCTCTTAATTCTTCTGGGGGGCCATTCTGCCTACCACATTTTACTAATAGAGGGGAAGGGCACCATAGTGGTTAGCAGCACACTCTTTAGAGCTGGAAAGGTTCAGGTTGGACTCCCAGGTCCCCCACCAGCTGTGCGACCTTCATTAAGTTATTTAACCTTTCTGAGACTCAGTTTTTCCTCATCTTTAATTTTTTTTTTTTTTTTTTTGAGTCAGAGTCTTGCTCTGTCATCTAATCTGGAATGTGGTGGCACAGTCTCGGCTCACTGCAACCTCCGTCTCCCAGGTTCAAGCGATTCTCCTGCCTTAGCCTCCTGAGTAGGTGGGATTACAGGCGTGCTAATTGTGTACGTGTCAGTTTCCATGATTAACTAAAAGCTCTCCTAATACACCTGGCTAATATTTGTGTTTTTAGTAGATACGGGGTTTCACCATGTTGGCCAGGCTGGTTTCAAACTCCTGACCTTGTGATCTGCCCGGCTTGGCCTCCCAAAGTGCTGGGATTACAGGCGTGAGCCACCGTGCCCAGCCTTCTTCATCTTTAAAATGGAGTGAATACAATACGTAACCTGACAGCATAGTTGTAAAGATTAAATGAACTCGTTTATTCCCTTTGTAGACATTTATTGAGCACCTACTCTGAGTCCCATCTTGGGGTTCTGGTGGTAAAAAGACAAATGAAGTCTCTGCTCTTCTGGGTTTATATTCCAGTGTCGTGACTGCGCCATTTTACAGATGAGAAAGTGAAGGCGTAGTGGGGTTAAATGAGTTGCCCCAGATCTGCAGCCAGTAAATAATGAAATCTGGTTTCCTTTCCAGGCAGCTTATCTTCAGAACCTAGGTGTTTAACACCTTTGATAGTGTCTAAAGCACCTATCAGAGGACACGTTACCTTGTGAGTGCTTAAAAATGGCGATGATGGTCGTCTTTTCATAGTTTTCTTTATTGTCATTGCTGTTTTTTTCCAGAACCCAGTTTTTAGAAGGCTTTGCCTCTTGACCTCTTCTTAATGGGATCCCTGCATGAAGTGACAAGCAGTGGCACCTGCTTGCCCAGTAGAACAGCCACCCTGGGGCGAGGTGGTGCCCGACCTCCGCACTAACACTCCATGTCCTGCTCTCCACCTGCTGACCACACATTTCCCTTGGGATGCCTAATTGTCACCCTCACCCCTCCTTCCTTGACTGTCTTTGTACTGCTGACAATCTATGGGCTGGAACCTTGGCCCCGTTTCATCAGCACAGTCTGTTGGGCATCCTTGGAAAATGTCCTGCCATCTCTGTGCCGCGGACCCACTCCACACCATCACGCTTCCAGGCCTGAAATCCTAGACGAGCTTTTGCACCAGGCCCTTGCAATCCATCCTGCTCATGGTGCCTGAAAAATGAACCTTCATGTTTGCTTTTCCCATTACTCTTCCGCTCAAGGTCTTCTCAAAGCTGCTGTTTCAACAAATCAATATCTTCCCCTCTGATTCTGCTCTACCTGCTTAGTCTTACAGTCTCGTTCTAATACGTAACCCTCTGTGCTAAGAGAGTTGCTTTTCTCATTACCTGCAAACCCTTGGATATACACGGGCTCAGCCCAAATGTTACCTTCTCTGGTTGCTCAGGTAGAATCAATATCTCTGTCCTCTCTGCTAGGAATTCATGGAAAATACAGAATTCTGGTTAATGATGTTCATGTCAGTTTCTGTGCTTAACTAAAAGCTTGTGTTAGTTTCCTGTGGCCTCAGTAACATAGTACCGCAAACTTTGTGGCTTAAAACAGCTGAAATGTATTCTCTCACAGTTCTATAAGGTACAAGTTCAAAATCCTCGTGTTGGCAGTGCCACGTTCCTGGAAACTCTGGGGAGCGTCTGTCCCTGGCCTCTTCCAGCATCTGGTGGAAGCCTCTTTGGCTTGTGGCCACATCGCGCCGATCTCTGCCTCCACAGTCACATTGTCGCCTCCTCTTCTGTCTCATCTCCTTTACCTCTCTCTTACAACACACATGTGATAGTATTTAGGGCCCACTTAGACAATCTCCTCATTCTAAGATCCTAACTTAATCACATCTCCAAAAAATTTACTATATAAGGTAACATTCACAGGTCCTAGGGATTCGGCCGTATGTCTTTGGGGGCCATAATTTAGTCCACTCCAGAGCTCTTGGAGAGCGAAGTTTAGTCCAAGTAGCAACCACGCAGTGCATGTTCAGTGTGGCTGTTGGTTAGTTCTTTGAATAAAGTGGATTTGGTAGAGAAGATGCAGGCCGAGTTCAAAACAGCAGATGATACCCATTATTAGTCAATAAATACCCGTTTTGCTCACATTTCTGCAGCCTAATTAAACCTCTCTAATTTGCATTTGACAATATTTACTGAACATCTGCTAGTAGCCAACCATATTGTAGGCATGTCCACCTTCCTTATTTCATTTTTTACTCACAATAGCCGTTTGGTAATATATCATTGCCTCCATTTTGCAGAGTAGAAAACTTAGGCTGATAGAAGGCAGGTTACTTGACAAAAGTCCCACAAATGGGGAAGCCAGGCTGCAACCGAGGTCTTCTGATTCCCCTGCTGGGTTTGTTTCTAGTCTTTCTGCAATGCTTGCCAGACCTACCGCAGGCCTTTGGTCACGGTTCTGTGGATTGAGTGAAAGCACTTTCTGAAGTTTTGATTTGGGGAAAGGAAGGAAAGAGATGATGGCAGAAGAGAAAATGGTGGCTTTAGCTCTCTGTTGTCAGTGTGATAAGGGCCCCTGACTAAGCCATGCTAGACCAGGCAGCTGTCCAGGGCCTGGAAGAAAGGAGGCTGGTATTTAGCAGTTGGAATGCACATGTGTTCTTGACATTTGAGCCAGGGAAGGATTGAGAAAGGAGCCAAGATGCCATGAGAGTCATTTCCATGTTTGTTTGTGTATACAATGCCTTGCTCCAGAAGGATTTTTGGAGGCCAGCAGAGGAATTCAGGGAAAGGCAGTTCCTTGGATCTGAAGAAGCATGTGTTGGCAAGTGAAGAGGGAAATGGGAACAGATGCGCAAAATCCCCTGGAACCAAGAAAGAAGAATTATAATTTGCTAAGATGAGAGGCATACATTATATATTAATAAAAATAAAAAAGAGAATTTCATACAGAAGGGGACCACTGAAAAACTCAAATGAGTGCATATTGCTAAAATTTGGGCTGTGTGTTTATGGGGGAAAAGAGGGGGTAAGCAGAGGAGCAGGCAGGTGGAGGTGGTGCGTCAGCTGTGTTACCTTGTGCAAAGGTGCCCCGTGTCAGCGGACAGCTCTGCCGTCACCTTCTACGACTTCACTGGTCACGTGGCCCTGCTGAGCTGCTTTCTTGCTTGAAAGCCACACATGGTTTCTTCAGCTCTTCCTGGCTTTCCTCCTCCTTCTCTGTACCTGCTCAGATGCCTTTATGCCTTTATGGCTGCCTCTCATTTCCCTGCTTGCTCTTCATGGATGCTTCTTCCCCAGATCAATTTCTAACCATTGGAAATGTGATAGAACATTCAGAAGTGCTGGCATCAGCCAATGCCACAGCACTTACTGCAGGCCAGACACTGTGCCAAGTGCTTTACCTGCAGTACATTTTCTATTCCTAACAAGGCAGCTACTTTTATTGTCTCTATTTTTCAGATGTGGAAACTGAGACCCAGAAAGATGCATACTTACCCAGGATCACACAGGCGATACAGGGTGGAGCCAGGGTTTGAACACAGGCAGCTGGGCTCCAGGAGCTGTGCTCTGAACCCTTGTGTCCTCTTGCCTCTTTAAGTGGTGCAATGAGATTCTCATTTCTGAGAGTCCAAAAACCACAAAATGTTCAGCAAGAGAACAGGTGAAGTAAACAAACCAACAATTAACAAAAATCTCTGATGGTCTTGGTGTAACTCATCCATCCCCTGGTCTTGCTCACAAGCCCCATCTAGTGTTCAGCTTGCAACTTGCAAGAATGTGTTCTCACAGGCATTTGCACAGATGGCTCTGCACTGCTGGACACATGCATTTCCCACTCTCCTTCGGATCTTAGATGTGTTAATAGTTGTGGTTTGTTGTGGATTCTTTCTTGGTATCTGACATTATTTGGAAACAATATCTGAGCAAAAGTCTTTCGTTTCTTTCCCTGTGTCTCTCAGTGGTGGCATCTGCCACCTGGTCTTCCTGTGTCTCTGCTTATTCCAGTTTCTCTCTCTAGCTTTATTGCTTCCCTTGCCTGGCACAGAATTCCTGGGCAAGGGTGGCCAGGGGTCCCAGGGTGTAGAAGCGGTGACTGTTCTCCTTCAGGACCATGTTTGGGAGAAGGCTCTTTAAAAATACTGCAGTTCCGAGTTAGTTGTTTTGATAGTTGTTTAATAAATTTCTGCTGGGAGCCAGTTTTACTTTAATAGGCTTTTTTTTTTTTTTTTTCCTCCAGTGGTGTGGATATTTCTGAGCATTGAGATGGAAAAGTGACTGACAGAAAATAATGAAACTGAGCAACAGAAGAGGCGAGGGCATAGTTCTCAACAAAGGGCATCCCTGCACGTTGTCAGCATGTGGGTCATGGGGTGCGCCCAACCAGGGAGGCTGGCTCGACTGTGCTGGCGCCAGGGAGGGTAAGGGACTCCAGGACCAAAAATTCTGGGAATGCCACTGTGGTGTTCAAGCTGCTGCCTTTCCAGAGAAGGAGAGTGGTCAGAGTGGCCCGAGCCGGAAGGCCCGTTCAGATGACCAGGCAGTGGAAGGGAGAGGGCCGAGGAAACATGCTGGGTTGAGCTGCTGCTGGGCAGGGGTGGCCATGAGGACCACCTCAGAGAAGCTGTACCCTTTCGGGCCGGGAGGGCTTGTTGAAGATGTCATTGACCCCATCGTGCGGATCCACCCTTGGTCTCGGTGTCAGACGGCCATGAGTCTTCTCAGCATTGTGCTCGGATTTCTTTCTCTTGGCTTCTGGGATCTCGTAATGCATCATTTCTTCTCTTCACATTGGGTAGCAGAAAGCACAGCTCCATGTTTGGAGCTTGCCTACAGCAGGTGAGGGGATCTAATAGTATTTTTCTGTAACTCAAGGTCATTAGCATCCCCAGAAGTGGCTTTGCCTCCATCCTGGGCCTGGTGTCATCTCAGTGGTGCCCTGTCACTGCCTCTTCTGGCTTTCATGTGGCTCGGGGCCTTTGAGAAGCAATTCAACCCAGGTGCCTGAAGGCCTCTGTATTGACTTGATTCTGGTAAGTGAAAGTTGCTGAACACTCCTCTGTGTCACCTCATTGCCCTTAGAATGAGGTTCAAACACCTTACCGTGGCTTCTCAGAGCCCTTGGTAACCTGGCTTCCTAGGGTCCCCCAAAGGACAGCCTCACTGAACAGATGTGACAAATGCTTGAGTCTCTGAGCCTTTGCACATGTTTTTCCCTCTGTCTGGAGTGGCATTTTCATGTGTCTTCCCTAATGAACTCCTAGCTACCTGTCAAGGCCTGGCCCAGATGTCCCCGCTCCCTGCTCCCTTTCCCTCCATGCTGCTCACTCAGCACCTTGTAGACATTTCTCTGTATCTCTCATCCAGACCTCCCACTCCCTCTAAGTGGACCCCTCTCAAGGGCAGAGATGGACTTCTCTCTGCTTTTCCATCAGCCTTATTGAAATGGAATTAAATGAATGAAACTAGTATTTATTAGTTTCTGAGATGTACTGGGAATTTCACTGAAATATTTAGTCTAATCCTTACAACCTTGAGAGATAAGCATTGTTTTTCTTGTTTGTAGATGAGGGAGGTGAGTTCTGAAGTTAAACAGCTTGTTCCCAGCCACCCAGCTCACAAAGGTTATAATGACTGATGCTTACAGGGTATTTCACATGGGGACTGAGACTGTTCTCAGAGTTTTCTATGCATTTGCTCCCATCATCCTTGCAGCAGTCCTGTGTGGTGGGCACTATCATTAGATCCATTGCACAGATGAAGAAACTGAGGTCTAGAGGGACCCAAGGTCACAGAGCCAGTAAGTGGAGGAACTAGGCTTTGAACTCAGGTATTCTGGTTTCAGGCTAATTGGCAGAGCGAGGATTTGAACTCAAACCCATGTGGGGAGAGTTGACCGCTGTTTTAGTCTGTTTTCACACTGCTGATAAAGACATACCCGAGGCTGGGTAATTTATGAAGAAGGAGAGGTTTAATGGACTCACAGTTCCACATGACTGGGGAGGCCTCACAATCATGGTGGAAGGCAAAAGGCACGTCTTACATGGTGGCAGGCAAGAGAGAATGAGAGCCAAGTGAAAGGAGTTTCCCCTTATAAAACCATCAGATCTCATGAGACTTATTCACTACCATGAGAGCAGTATGAGGGAAACCACCCCATGATTCAATTATCTTCCATCGTGTCCCTCCCACAACACATGGGAATTATGGAAGCTATAACTCAAGATGAGGTTTGGTGGGGGACACAGCCAAACCATATCAGCCACAGGAAAGCTATCGAGCCTTGCAGTTCCTCTGAGGATCCCTGGCTGTGAGGTGGGCCCAGGTTCTAGTCCAAGTGCTCCTGCGTGCAACTCTGCCCAGCTTCTGTGGAGGGTTATTCTTGTGTTTAAGATATGTGTGTGATTCTGATGGCACCTTCCTGCTTTGGGCCAGCTGTGTGCTGACGGGCACTGCTGCTGCCTAGGTGTTGGTTTGGTGAGCCCAGCAACTTTGTGACTGACCTTTGTCCTCCTCTGTTCCAGGGTACTGCCAGGGGGATGGTTACCGCATCGGCTTTGGCCAGTGTGCTGGAAAAGTGCTGCCTGCTCTCTTGCCATCATGAGATTTTCTCTGCTGTTCCAGAAACAAAGGGCTCAAGCACCCCTTTCAACCCTGTGATGGGGGTCCTCCCTTGGGCTGTAGGCCTGGTCTTTCATTCAGTGACAAATAAAGCCCTTGTGCTCTGAGGCCTGCACTGCCGCAGGTGCAGCTGTGTCCACTTATGATCGTGATTTGACCCAGTGGGTCAAGGTGTGTAAAGCCTTCCTGCCAGACATTCATTAATATGTTTTCTCACTGTTATTCATGAGGTCACGGGTCTTTGTGGGGTTTTCTTATTAGACATCCCAGGCCTCCTGGTATTCCATGGAATATGAAAAGAGACTGGCACCTGTAGTAGTCAGGGTTCTCCAGAGAAATAGAACCAAGGAGAAAGAGGTCGATTGATTGATTGATTGATTGATTTTTAGCAAATTGGCTTATGGGATTCAGAGGATGGCAAGTCCAAAACCTGCTGGGTGGGTTACTGACTGAAGACCCAAGGAAGAGCTGCAATTTGAATCTGAAGCAGTCTGCTGTCAAAATTTTCTCTTCCTCTGGGAAGTGAATCATTGTGAAGGCCTTAAACTGATTAAATGAGGCCCAGCCACACTGTGGGGGGTCATGTGCTTTACTCCACTGATTTAAGTTTATTTCACCTAAAAAATACTTTCTTAGAAATATGTAGAATATTTGGGTATTCTAGCCAAATTAGTACATGAAATTGCCCATCACAGCACCCTACATGTCCAGTATTTCTTGGGGCTAACGGATGAGCACATATGGGTTGTAGGCTTGGTTCATGGGCCCTGTGGCTGTGTCTCCACACTGTAAGCCTTGGGAAGAGCCTCCAAGTCATGGGTGCACACCTGAACTGTGATGATGGCAGAAAAGGACCTGGCTTTTCACCTCTTGAAAGCCCACTAGAGCCAGGAGAGTGAGCTCTGTCCCATCTCTTCTGCCTCAACCCATTGCACACAGGCAGCCCTGGTTCTACCCTAGTTCCTTGGTGACTACAGCAAGGGAGGGTGCCCTGCAACCTTTCCTGGGCCTGATGAACCTTATACTGGGGCCTAGGAGGATAGTTGAGGATGCAGAGCCCATCTATCAGATCGTACCATTCATTCATTCACTCAACAAATCTTTATTGAGCACCTTCCATGTGTTAAGCACTGTTCTAAGGATGAGAGGCACAGCAGTAAACAGAATAGCCCATTTGAAGCTTATATTCGAGTGGAAAGAGATAGACAATAAACAGATAAGGAAACGACATGTGGTATGACAGATGGTAATAAGTTTTATGGATGACTGGGGAATGTGGATGCTATTGTAAATGTGGTCACAGAAAGCTTTAATCCTGTAGTACCTTTCTGCTAGAGAGCTGAAGGAGTGAGGGGAGCAGGCCAGATAGATACCTGGGGACAGAGTCCTCCAGGCATAGGAATCAGCCAGTGCAAAGCCCTGAGGATGGAATATGCTTATCATTTCTAAAGAACATCAAGGAGACTGGTATTTCTCCCTTATATAAAAGCAATCTGGGGTCAGGAAGGCTGGAGTTAGTATGGCAGCTCCACAGTATCATTAAAGATACCTCTGCTCGGCCATCCTCAGTATGTGGTTTTCAGTCTTGGGGTTACCTCATGGTGCAAAATGGCTGCTGGAGCTCCAACTAGTATACCTAAGTTCCAGGCCAGTAGAAAGAGACAACAAAGAGGTGAGGATTGGGAGGATGGAAGGGCAGAACTCCTTCCTCCTGAGTTAGGTCACTTTAAGCAGCTTTCCTGGTGGTCCCGTACCACACATTTCTTACGTTTCATTGATGTAAATTTGGTCACAAGGCCATACCTCATTACAAGAAAGCCTGTAAATACAGTATTTCATCTAAACACATTGCTTGCCCTGTGAAAATTAGTTTGATTGCCCTAAAAGAAGGGGAGAATAAACAGTGGGGGCCAATCAGGAGTCTCTGCTACACGCAGGCTTGGAAATATCACACTCTGAGGCTGAACTGCTCCCCGCGGACTTTACTTCCTAGAGCTATGCTCTAGGGCCATATTCTCCAGTGCTTTGCTGATTTCAGTGGAAATGCTGTATAGGGCAGCTGTCAGCCGGGTCTCCCAGACGCTATTCTCCAGATCAGACTGATGTAAACACTTATTTGAATTTGGAAGACCAAAGCCTTCCCCAGGATTTTTCTGAATTCTTGGGGCTTATGTTCCCAGGGCGACATCTGCTTCTGTTGACTCAGCTAAAACCCCTGCTCTCTTGACTGTGTTCTGAGATTGTTCCTGAAGCCTTCTCTCCTGGCATCAACCCACAGGAGTGACTCCTGTTTTTCTCAAAGCCCTCACCTGCACATAGATAAAAGGCCTCATGCTCCGTACGGTAGGTCTTTACTGGAGATTGCTGGGTCATGGGCAAAGGTCACTTAAAATCATTATTAAGCCACTTGTTCCCACTGGCACCAGAGAATGCCGATGTCATCTGTTGAGATCACACGCTTATTCCCTTTTTAGGCATTTAACGCACTTAAAGGGCTTGGTGATGTTGGGAAAACCCAATCGACCTGCCCCAGAGTCTGAAACACACACAGGGCAGAAAGAGCCAGAAACGTTCCTGGCACCAGATTCACTTAAGAAACCAAACTAATGGATGTTAATTCTGGGTCCAGCCTGAGCTTTACTTGGCAATTACTTTTCCCTAATCTTCAGCGACAAGAGCCTCTTTGTTTTACTGTCTCCAACTCCAGAAGTGCTCACTGCCAGCCCACATGACAAGTGGCTTTAATGGTCTTTAGTTTTAGAGATCTAATTTATTGAAACCTATCTGTGTGTAATCATATGAAATAGACAAAAATGACTTTCAGAGCCAAATTTCCTCTTTTTGACAGTGGTATTTTAAGGACTAGAAGCATTTTGACCAGATGAATGGAGCTTGCAGATGGGATGATGAGCATCTCAAGGCAGGTTGGCCATAGTTATCACTGTATCTTCCTTATAATTTGTATTCCATTTATGCTTCCTGTTTTGAACTAGTGGCCCATTTGGAATATGAATGGATGACTGTGGAACAGAGAGTAGAGTTCATTTGAAACTTTACCTGACCAGGAGGAGTCAGTGCAGAGGTGTTTCTGGCAAGATGGGGCCCACTGCAGGTTTTATTGTAGGGTGGCAAGGGAGCTAGGCTCAGGGGCATGCTGCTGCCCTGGGCTGGGACAGGCACTAGGGGTTCCAGGGGCCAGGAGCCCCTGTCTCTATTGCAGAGGGGAGAGGAGGAAGAGAAGCCTTGTTGCCCCCACCATGGTACTTCTGTGTCCTGAGGCCTTTCACACACATTGGTTTACCTTTGAAACACTGTACATTGAGAGTTCTCCTGAGGGTGAGTGTAGACTTGAACGAAGACAATGTTTTTAAGGACAAGGGAATTTTTTCTGTTTTTGTTGTTGTTGTTGTTGTTGTTTTTGTTGTTGTTTTTTAATTTTGAGAAAGGGTCTCACTCTCTCACCTAGACTGGTGTGCAGTGGCACAATCTTGTCTCACTGCAGCCTTGACTTCTCTGGCTCAGGTGATCTTCCCACCTCGGCCTCCCAAGTAGCTGGGACTACAGGTGCACACCACTATGCCCAGGTGATTTTTTGATTTTTTGTATAGATGGGATCTCACTGTGTTGCCCAGGCTGGTCTTGAATGCCTGTGCTCAAGTAATCCTCCCACCTTGGCCTCCCAAAGTCCTGGGATTACAGGCATGAGCCACCGTGCCTGGCAATTTTGGGGTGTAAAGTATCATAATTAATATTATCTCAAAGATTCCTGACAACAAAATGGATCTCAAAAGTGGTTCTATTTTCACATTTTTTCCCCCTTCTTTAGTGTGGAAGCATATTCCTTTTAACAACTCCAGAAAAAGTAATGTGGCAGGGTTGTATTCCGAAGTACTAATTTGTTTTCTGTGTATTCTCTGTCTTTCTGCCCTCTCAGCAAGATTTCCAGGGCTGTGGGAGTATTTTGCTCTCTCTCCTCCTGCAGAGAGGCAGAAAGAAGCTCGTGGGAGATGGACCAAGACTGGATGCTTGCTTGCAAGCCTGTTTTTGCTTTTTAAAATGTTGCTCTTGAAAACTAAATAAGGCTGAGGCCAGTCTTATTTTCAGACTGTTTGCCAACAGCACACCCAAAAGCTGGAGCGACAAGTTCTTTCTCAAAGAGGGAGTGGAGTCGCACGGCACATCTATTCCCGCCAAGGTCATGATCCCGGAAATAAATAGACCTTTGTTGTTTATGGTGATTTCATTAGTATCTGCCTTCATTAGATTTTCAGCTACTTGAGGATAGTCTGCTTTTGCTTACTGAAAGTTCATCAGTACCTAGCACATAAGAGCCACTCAATGTATACTCGTTAAGTAAGTGAATGAATTCTAGGAGATCACTGGGAGCAGACTGTGTCTTATTGATAGGTCTACTTCTAGTACTTGCAGGGCCTAACCTGACAGTGCTCATGGAGTCTCAGTATTTAGGCGGTATAAACAAGCTATACACTGTTAAATAAAATACTTTCTATTTTCCTACCTAGATATGTTTGCTTTCATAATTGCAAAACAAACATATTTGCAAATTGATGGCTTTTATATGATTGAAAATTGGTAAAATATACAACTAAACTTAATTATCATTGCACTTGAAGAAAGCTGATGGGATGGCAATGTTTGGATGAGCATTAAAGACATAAATTCATGAATTTTGTACTTTATACATTTTAAAAATCAGACTTTATTTTTTACAATTTTTTTTTCTTTCTTTAATTTCATTAGAATCATTAATTACACTCTCCTGAGCTTTTCATAAATGTGTTTTATTGACAATATAAAATATTAAAAAGTGTATCGAATTATACTTCACTCTACAAGAAGTAAATATCTTCATCAAAACTCTAAACTAAGTGTTAAAAATTGAAAAATTAAATTTTTCATAAGCACTTTCAAAGTTAGTTTTCTTTGAAAATATTCAAATTATTAATAATAAAAAGCAAGATACAAATTATAATTAAAGAGCTTTAACATTTAATCTCAAAATTCTTCAAATAAAAATGAAATGTCTAAATTCATTTTTTGAAAATGTAATAAAATCTGTTTTGTTTTGTTTTTTTGATATGGGGTCTCACTGTGTTGCCCAGGCTGGC